TTGGGGCAGATTGGAGCAGTGAACCCGACAAGCTCTGCTGGAGATGCGATGGAGGTGGGAACAAAGCCTTCCTTGCCACCCTCGCAGCCACAGAATGGGCCAAGTAGCGGAGTCTCAGCTCTGCTCGACCGGACCAGGTTCAAGCCTTTCTTTATGTGCATTCCAGTCCACCGAGATTTCAGCAATATCTTACAGCCCGCTTGCGTTCTAGGATGCTGTGCTTGCCTTGGGTGGTGCGGGGATGGGAAGAGGGAAGAGGTTGGGGATAGGTAGGAAGGTGTACTCCTCTGCTTACCCTGCTTCCTAAAAAGGAGGAGGAAATAGCCAACTTGTGGGCAAGCAATGGGATGCCCCAGTACAGTATCTCACAAAAACAAGGAAAGGCACCTCCAGGAGCTTGTCCAGTTTTTTAAAAATTGTAAATCTAAACCATTTATAATGTAAATTTTGAAAAGATTGGATAAACGCGCTGAATCGTAAAAATGAAAAGCTATATCTACAGATTGTGCAATATGAAATCTTACAGTATAAAACTGCAGCTTCAGCCACCAGCAGCCCTGTGGCCCAGGGTATGGTCCGAAGGCGCATAACGTGTCCACCATGTTGAAGCTAAGCATGCCTTGGGCTGGCTCAAGCTTGGAGGGGAGACCACCTGGGGACTGCATGTGGCCACCATGGGAGAAAGGTGGGGAATAAACATAATGAATAAAAATAAAATGTAACAGTACCACATAAAAACTCCACTCAGACCCAAGACTAAACTTCAGTGAGGGAACATAGCTAAACAATCCGCACTCACATCCCATGGCTAAGTAAGCTGCATCACTAATTCTGCCAGCTTGTAGTTTACCCACCCCTGCACTATAATAACTGAACAAAGATGAGATTATTTCCTCTCCAAAAATCAGGCGCACGTGTCATGAGTTTTAGGATGGGTAATTTCCTGCATCCGCACAGCAGATTTCCTGAAGGTTATTCATCAAATAACCGCCCTTAATTCATTAAAAAATTGTGGTGCCTTGAAAAGATTTATTGTGCCATGGGCTAGAAATGGCTTCCCTGCATGCTTGGAGTGCTAGCTGCTGTTGGCAAACATTTATTTGCATTGGCATATGGTTTGCGGTGGCAGCAAAGAAATACGGGTATGAAATGCGAGAGACTGAAAACTTACACAGGATAAGCAAACCGTTGTTCTCTACAGCCATATTAGAGTCAATCAGCACTTTTCTCTAGTCTGAATACACTAAGCATGCCTGTAGCAGAAGAGAGAACCCGGTACTAGGTTGAGTCCTAAATAAATGGATTCGAACTGGCCAAGGAATTTTGCTTCAGCAATTTCATGCAGAAAGTTTGCTTCAGGTTTCTTTTGTGGGGAGAAAGCTTAACTTTTTAATTAGCAACAGAGGTGGCCAAATTCCTTTGTTCCTTTGGCTGTAAGAGCAGCTTAACTGGCGGAAATATCAGGCAAAAGAGCTATGCCTTTTCTGCTCAGCCACTGCCTCGTAACCAGGGCAGCAAAAGAATAGCGAACAACCTGACCATTGACATATGGTGGGAGTTTTCAGACAGAAATTCACAGAGGCACTGCAGATGAGCTGAAATATTTTTCTTAAAAAGGCACTCGGCATGTGTTTGTTTCCTGAAAGGAGGGAAAAGGGATGGTTACAGCTAAGGGAGGGGACTCTCCATGGGTGCACCGGGGCATCGTGGACTTCTCTAGTGTCAGAGTGCCAGTTTCTTGGTTGCAAGTGATGTCTCCCCTCTTCATTTGCTGGCTGACTCGAGAGGGGAGCTGGAGGAGTAAGCAGCACTGTGGCACAAACCGCCTGCCCCTCTCCCTCCCCCTCCCCCTCCCCACCTCTCCTGCTGATCTGTAAAAGAAGTCATTCACTCTTCTGGCTCACCTTGACCCTGTAAGAACTGTAGGGAATTCCCAGCTGGAGCTCTGTGAGAATCTGTTTTTGCTCAGTTGCAAGACAGAGGGAGGAAGAGACTGCTTGCTCGCTGCTTCAGAAATCAAGTCAGAGGCTGCTGATGTGCCAGAAGCGTAGCCAGAAAAAATGCAACCCTGGGAACACTTGGAGAGTTTCATAAGTTATCGCAGAGGAGAGAGAGATGGATGGCTGTGCCATAAATGCACCATGCGGGTCTGTTCTTTTTCTGTCCTTTTAATCTACTGCAGGAGAAACCTATGAATTCACTAGGAATAGAACCAACTGCAGTTTCAATTCCTTTCAGGTTTCCATTTTTCTAATGTTGTTTGGCTTGTGTGGAATTCAGAAACGTTTGCATTTAAAAAATCCACTCTGCAATTTGTGCATATTTTGTGGTGCTCATTTCTCCTAACATGGGCCCTTTTTTTTCATGCCACTCTTCTAACAAAAAGCTCTGTGAGTGCTTGTTTGCCTTTTGGCGTGAGCTTTCCCTGAAATGCATATTCTTGCATGCATGTTTGCATTGGAGAACTCCATTGTGAATTTCGGGGAAGTGCGAATTTTGAAGGATAGTTGCGTTCTGGTTTATATAATCACATGAAAGTATGAAAATGTTCTCCCCCAGCATCGCCTTCCAGTAGCATATCCCGCATCGTTCTCTGTGTCTCTTGTTGCGTCTTTGCCATGCCTGGCGGTGGGATGAGTTGCTTTGGAAGGACCAACTGGCAGCCTGCAGCTGAGTAATTAAGAGCTCGGAGCTCAGCTCATGGGGAGAGACCTATAGGCAGCTGGCAGTCTTGTGCTGGCAAAACTGCATTATTTATTATTTTGCTAAATTTTACAATATCTCCCCACGCCCCTGCCTCCTCGCGGGGTACATTTGCAAACAGAAGATCTCCTTGCATCTCTCCTATAACAACCATGGTAGCTGCATTTAGCAGTTCTCAGTAAGGGTGAAAATACAATTGCATCTCTTCTCATGGATCCTTTCTGGACCTTTTTGCTGAACACGTGCCTCGTTTTCATCAGTTTTGCTGCACACGATTGGCGTGTCCATTACTGTTGCAAATGTGCATATTTTTCTGGTGTTCCTTCCCTAGTTCATGCTTTTTTGCACCTCATAAATTGGTACAGATATTGAAGATTCACAGCCGTTTGCTTTGTGTATGATTCAGGCCCTACTAGTGAGGTTGGTTCCCATAAAAATGCGAAGCAAACCATTTTCTCCCTGAGTCTAGTTCACAGTCTATGGACAATTGTATCTGCTTTGTCCCTCATTCCGACTTCTAGGAGTGCCGAATTAAAAATGGGTGTATCCACGCAACTTGGGAGTTTTCATGATTAACCTCCTACTTCAGACCTCGGAGCTGTAGGTGCCACAAAAGTCATCCAGACCAACCATGATCCAACAGAGCAAAGCTCAGGGAGCCAAGGTTCCGTTTGGATGCCAGGAAGCCCTTCCTGACAGTCGGGACCCCGAGGGTGAGGACTGGGCTTCCACGAGAGGCCCCATTGGTGCGGGTGTTCAAGGATAAGCTGGACGTCCACATGGTGGGCATGTCGTGAGCAGAGCCGTGGGTCAGACTAGATGGCCCGGGAGACCCCTTCTGACTCGCTCTGTTTCTCTACATCTTGCGCCCAATTCCCAGCCTGATTTGTACAAATCTAACATGAACTGATTTCCACAGTAGATGGAATCAGCCCTGCTTTTGTCCATGGGGAAGCTTTGTGCAAATTGGAGGAGATTTGAGCAAATCCCCCATCCAGTTGCTGCTTGATTTGCACAAAGTTTCCATTTATTCTGAGCAAGCAACCATCAGTTATGCAAATGGAAATCGGACATAAGAAAAACAAGCTGATGCTTGGAGAATCCAGGGCAGGGGAGACATCGGTCCTTCTCCCATCCCATATCCCATCCCATCCCAGTGATGAGCGTGTTACCTGTGCAGCAATATCTGTGAAACCAACTAGACTTGATGCAGGCCACCACAACTATTTCACATGCATGTGTGTGTGCGCGCACACCATGCATCTGTGGCGAGACAAGCAGCACAGAAGGGCTGGAGCAAGAGTGGGGAGGGGTGGTGGGGAAGGGGTCCTTTCCGTGGACTGGATTCTGCAGAGAGAAGGTACGCTCCTGGCATCGCCTCGCCGCTGCTGCTTGGTAACTCCATGGGGGAAGGGCTGGTGGTTGGAGCATTTTACTATATGGGGTTGTGGCAGCGCATAAAAGAGGTGAAGTGGCGCTTTTTATGGGGGCTGCCTGCATTGACATCAAAGCGTACAGGAAGGACTCTTCCCTAGACAGGGCTGAAAGAGGGTTAGTTTTCGGAGAAGGGGAGGAGAGAGAACAGATGTGAAAAACTGGTAGGGTGGGACTTCTCAGGTTGCTTGAATCCGTCACGAGGGGGAATCAGAAGCGTGTGATTCTGAGGACTAACAGCAGGGAGGAAATGAAGTGACACCCCATCGGTCATGTGAGAAATGACAAGACAGCTACTCTCCAGTGTGGAGTTGGTGGCCCAGCTTCTACACCATGTGTTCCAACTGGAGTTTCTGGGGAAATCCACAACGGAATCAAACGAGACCGAATTTCCGAGAGTTCTACAGTGGATCAGCTTTCCTGGGTCGTGCAGAGTCTGAAGGGCTAACCAGCTATTTTTAAAAACTGCTTATTTTTGTGTAAATCTAGCTGCAGAACTGTATAAATGGTGCAAATCTCCCCCATAGAGAAGGTGAGAGTAGAGATTGTGGTGCAGGTTCACTTATCAGAGAGGAAGAGTTTAATTTGGAGTCCTGCCCTGAGCAGGGTTTGGACCCTCTGGGCCCTTCCAACCCTACGGTTCTGTGGTTTTGCATTGCTTAGTGCATTTTAGGAAAGGAGAATTTGCACAAATATGCAGAAACACATTTGTGTATATTCTGAGCTTTTGTGCGCAGAGGATGGTGCTGTGAAAGTAGCCCGAACACCTGCAATTCACCAGCAGAACAGTTTTGTCTCTGAGCTCCGATTTTTGTGGATTCCATCTCTCGATTCAGTGTCTCTCTTGTGGTTTTGCCTCCCAGGCTGTCCATCGGGGACATTCAAAGCCAACCAAGGGGACGACGGTTGCATTCACTGTCCCATCAACAGCCGGACGACGTCAGAGGGCGCCACCAACTGTGTCTGTCGTAACAGCTACTACCGAGCCGATTCCGATCCTGTGGATATGCCATGCACCAGTACGTAACCCAAGGTGGAGCAGGGGGAAGGACGGCAGGAGTGTTCCCCCCCTTTAGGGTATGGTGGGCACAGCAGGTCAAAACTGGAAGTCCTTCAGCTTCGTCATGGTCCACCCTGACCAGCAGCTCCTCAAATACGGGGCTTTCCTATCGCCTCCTGTCTGAGCTTTTCAACCAGCAATGCTGAAGATTTAACCTTTGTCCTTCCGTGTGCAAAAAAATATGCTCAGATAGCAAACTGCCTCATACCGGTCCTCTGTACAAGACCCGAGGACTTGAGCTAATCCTCCAAGGCTCACTGGGAGACCCTGGCCTCTTCCCTGCCCACCGGTCTTTTGGTGACTTCCAAGGTTATGCTAAGGTGTGGTCGTATATCTGGCCCTGCTTCTTTGCATCCACCTGGCCGTGGCTGATGGGTCAGTTCCAACAGCCCCGGCACTGCTTCCATTGACAACTCGAGCAACTTAGCATCCCATTAAACTGTTTGTGTGAACAGCTCATGTTAGAGAGGTTGGGGGACTAGCAAGATCAGTACACGGCGGGGCTTATAAGAGTTGGCCAAGAAGGGAGAACTTGTACAATGTTTTCACAGGCTTGTGAAAAGGGCTCATGACCCTGAAACCCAAGGCATTCCCAAGGGAGCCGGTGCAGCAGTTCTGGCTGCCGAGGCGTGCAACTTTGTACAAGACGTGCCCCCTTCATTTAGCACCAGATCTCAGGGTTTTCTGGTAAAACTGACTGCATCTATGTGTTTAAATGTGTATTCCTGAACATAACTACATGATCAGTTATGAAAGTGCTTTTTCGAAAGGATGTTTCTAAAATGTCCGTCTTCAGAATTCTTTTCGGTACCTCTCTGGAGCCGAAAAGTGCACTGCAATAGTGTTTCTGTTTTGTTGGGAGAGGGAAAATACCTGAAGCAAAATTATGTTCCAGTGTGTAGACGAGCTTGAAAAGTTCAGATTACCTTAGCTTGACACGAGCATCCCTCCTCCATCCATCCCTTCCGGAGACTGGTGGTGATTCAGGAACCTCTCTGCTCTTCCGCCATTTCACTTCTGTTTCCTTTTCCGTTTGTAGCCATCCCATCAGCTCCTCAATCCGTCATCTCCAGTGTCAACGAGACCTCCCTGATGCTGGAGTGGAGCCCTCCCCGGGACTCTGGGGGTCGCGAAGACCTGGTCTACAACATCATCTGCAAAAGCTGTGGCTCCGGTCGTGGCGCTTGCACCCGCTGTGGGGACAACGTGCAGTTCACGCCACGCCAGCTGGGCCTGACCGAACCCCGAGTCTATATCAGTGACCTTCTGGCCCACACTCAGTACACCTTCGAGATCCAGGCTGTGAACGGCGTCACCGACCAGAGCCCCTTCTCACCGCAGTTTGCCTCGGTCAACATCACCACCAACCAGGCCGGTAAGATGCATGGCGTACCCACTTTCGAGCGCCTCCCTTTTCATGGGCTCCTCAAGGCAGGTGGCAATCTTTGGGGAACTCCAGCCCAGCGTTCTTGGGTTCTTCTCCTCTTATGGGAGAAGCAAAGCCAGGAACCTGGCAGTTCCTAGAGGTTAGTCTTCGGGTATCTTATAGTGTCCGTATGGCAGGGCTGAAGCTATTCTGGAAATCTAGATTCTGCCATCGAAGTCCATAGAATATGTATATGTGCTTATGTGTTTTCACTAGCACCCCAGAAGTTAGGCTTCCAAGATCAGGATGCCCAAGAATGTAATTTCTTTGACCAAAACAAGAGGAAGCTGGCAGGGACTTTTTCTCCGTCATCACGGTGACGAACATCTTGCTTGTTTTCCTTGAACGCTGTGGTTCTCAGGAAACCACCTTTTGGAAAGACATGACTCAGTGTGGCTTTATGCAGATTTTAGGAATGTTCATGCCACTCTCTGTATTGGAATCCTCCCCCCAGAGTTTTGAGGATTACAGATTCCCTGGTTTTGTTTACCGTGCGTGGCACCAGCTCCTCAGTGATCTTCCACTCTTCAGGTTTTGATCTCTAGCTTTAATTTGGACGGATCCTGAGTCTCCAGTCTCCCTCACTCCAGACAAGGCATAATCTCGCCGTTAGGGGTGCATTGCATTTCTGTCACTCCGTTTTTTCTCTTCCAAGGAACCCAGTTAACAAAATTCCCCTCCCCTCCATTTTATCTCATAGCAAGGACCCTGTGAGATAGGTGAAGCTGAGACCTGTGAGTCGCCACAAGTCAGTGGGCTTCATGGCCAAATGAGGATTAGAACCTGGGTCTCCTGGGCCTCCGGCCAGCCCTTTATCCACTGCACCACACTGGCTTTTCCAAGGGAAGCGCCATTGTCAAAGAGTTCTCCTATGCTCTGTGGGTAGACACTTGGCCCGACAGGAGGAGAAATGAAGGTAATTCCAGCCCATCCTTTGGAGGCTGGTGACTCAAGTTATGGTCCTGGACCACTCTCTTGCCTGCAGTTGAAGCAGGGACAGAAGCACTGAGCTGGAATTTCTCTGAACATGTTTTTGTGTGTGGAAAATCTGAGAAGATTGTTCTTTTCTCACACCCTGGGGGAAAAAACAACTGTGCAGAATGTTCTCCATGCTCCATTTTCCCGTTCTCTGTATTCATGCACACCATGTGATAGGACAACACTAGGCATGGGGAATTACGCAGGATGCAGAATGGTTGTCATTCTGCCAACGGAGTCTGTGCTTGGTTTGCATTAGCTGACCGAACCCGCAGAACAACGATGCTTAGGAAGGGAGGGAGAACCTCTGAGAACCTGATGCAATTTCTCCTCCTGCTGGAGAGATTTGGTGACATGCACACCTCTGTGGAGAACTCTGCCACTGACTGGGTGCTACACTTGTCTTCTGTATGCTGCTGGCCGAGTGCAAAGGTTGGGGCAGCAGGTGGACACAAAAACTTCACAGTTCACCGAAGGATGGCCAGGCCATCCCATTCCCAGCTAGCAGTGTGTGTGGAACTCATGTTGCAGGTGGGGCTGGAATGCCTGGAATCCCGCCCTCTTTCCCACGTGCAAGAGCCCGGCTTCCTGGGGAGCACATGGAGAATTTGCATGGACACCCCCCAGCGGGATAGTTTTGCATGGAAGCTGTGCATGGGAGATCCCTCTTGGTGCTGCACATGGAACGGAAGAAGCTTGCTGGTTGCACGACCGGACTTGTGCAAGCATTCCTGGACTACTTCCTGGTGTGGCAGGCTTCCTGAAATAGGTCCAAGCACCAGGGACATAGTAAAGGGCAATGGATTCCTGGGAGCGTCACCCAAGCCTAGTCCTGTCCCATTTCTACATTTTAAGAACCGAAACGTTGCCATTCCATCTGCACTTAAAACTATGTTTGTATCATGTTTCCTCTGGAACGTTGTGCTGCCTGATGCATTTTGAGCCTACCTCTTGAGCCAAGAACTTGGGAGTGCAACGGATAGTGGATAATGCCGTTTCAGCCGGTACGTTAGTCCAGGAGGTGCCGATTGGATCAGTTGGTCCTGGCGTCTGCCCAGCTCAGATTCCAGGAGCATCCTGAAACTCCCCCACGTTCTGGGACTGCCCTGATGAAGCACCGAGCGCCTGCCCAGCTCTTGCATGCTTGAATCTCACCTCTTGCAATTAAGCAGCGCGGCTACAACTTTCCTGTAACAGCTGTGAACATTCTCACCTTTACGGTCGGACGGAGGGAAGGCCGTGTGCGTGCGAGAGGCGTGCGAGAGGGCGGCCAGCGAGCGCCCACCCTGCCTTCGCTTCGCCCACGTGCTTCGGCCCGCTTCTGCCTGATTATGTGTTGCGCTTCAGTCTCCCAGCCTTGTGTGATGCCTTCCTTAATGTATCTATTCATTAGCGCTAAACAGTAACTGTCTGCTCACTAATTCCCCCATAATTAGAGGCAGAATTCTTTTGCAGGCGCTCCGCACAGCCTGGCAGCCTTGATGTTCTTCATTAGCAGCTGGAAACAGGAGCTGCGGAGAGAAAACGGAGCTTGAAAAGGGGGAATGTTTGCACTGGGGAATAGGAATGGGCATTCGAGGCGCGGGAGAGGAGAGCTTTCGTCCTCCGGGGCGGGGGGGCATGTTGCACGATCCCTTGATGTCCCCCAGCCCTTTGCAAGTCTATTATGAGTGGTGTTTCAGAGCAGAGCAGAAATAGCCCCATCCTATGGAGATGAAGTTTCTCCATCCTGGCTGCAGGCAGCAACATCGGGAGGGGCTTTTGAGAAATATTCTCCCAGGAAGGGTAAATCCATCATCAGTTCAAAACAAAAACAAAACCCTAAGAAATTTTGGTCCCGCTTATACCAAATTGTAGTATTAATTTCTAGCAGTTGGTAGGGACTGAAAACTTGTACAGAATCTTTTAAGGAAAAATAGTCCCAGTGGTTGTCAGCATCTTTGAAACTTCTGCTTGAGCTGAGCAGATGACTCTCAAATCAACAGCGTCTTTTTTCTGTTCTGAAACATTGTATTTTGATTTTACTATGGAGTGTGGAAGGGACAAAAAGACCTCTGAAACCGCTGCATACCGGGGGCTCGGTGGCCCTCTGCCCTCTAACCCAACTTCACAAGATTTTAATGCCCTGGATGTGTGTAAAACACCATTCAATTTTTATTTTTTTAATTTAATCAAACATTTGTATGCTGTCCTTCACAGCACCGACTTAGGATGGCTTACAAGTTTAAAATGAGCAACAACAATAAAATCAATTGTACAGTATACAATAATAAATAATCATAAAAATACAATCAAAACTAATAAATATAGACAGGATTAAAATAAATCACGTTACAAAAAAGCGACTGTAAACATGACTCCTAAAATCTTTAATTCTTAAAATGGCAATCAAATAAAAAGGTTTTCACCTGACTCTGAGAAGAGTATAGGCCCGGCACCAAGCAAACCTCTCTGGGGAGCGCATTCCACAATCTGGGCACCACTGCGGAGAAGGCCCTACTCTGAGTAGACATCCTCTTTACCTCCTTCAAGGAGGGTTCCTGGAGCAGGGCCTCTCCTGCAGATCCTAAGGGGCATGAGGGTGTATAAGGAAGGGGACGTTCCTCCATGCATCCTGGTCCCAAGCCGCTTAGGGCTTTATTGGTTAATACCAGCACCTTAAATTGGGCCCAGACTCCAACTGGAAGCCAGTAGAGCTGGTAGAGGACTGGCGTTATATGAGAAGGACTAGAGGCTTGGAGAGTCAGGTGGTATTGAAGTCACAGACAGTTGTGTGCAGTTGTGGATGTGCAGAAAGCACAGTCAGCACCAGCAACCAGCCCCAAGTGCCTTCTGCCCCATTAACTTGCCTCACCACTTGGCCCATCCTCAGGCCCTGCTCCACACCTCTGCCTTACCAGAGCCCACTATAGCAACACAGAAACAGAGCGAGTCAGAAGGGGTCTCCCGGGCCATCTAGTCTGACCCCTGGCTCCAGCCGGCTCCACTCACGACATGCCCACCATGTGCATGTCCAGCCTATCCTTGAACACCCACACCGATGGGGCCTCAAAGGCCTCCTGTGGAGCCCATTCCACACCCTCGGGGACCTAACTGTCAGGAAGTGCTTCCTGGCATCCACTCTAAATCTTGGTTCCCTGAGCTTGGCTCCGTTGGAGCTCATCCTGCCCTCCACTGCAGAAGGAAAAGGGTCATGACCCACCTCTGCGTGGCTCCCCCTCATGTACCTGTATGTCGCCAACAGGTCCCCTCTGAGTCTCCTCCTCTCCAGGCTGAAAAGACCAGCTCCCTTGGAGGAAAATGAGGAGCAGTGAGGCTTCCTAGCATTCTGGTTTCATACCCTTCCACAAATCGGCACGAATGTCAGCCCCAACACGGACCCTCCTTATCCCTCCCATTTCGACTGTTTGCCTGATTGGTCTCAGAGACTCGCCTCACCCCCTCGCATACCTGCATGTTAGCGTGGGCCCACAATGAAGCGCCCTTGTCAGTCTAAGGGGGGTGTGCAACTTTGCAACAGGTGGGAGTTTTCCAGGGCTGCTTAGGGATGCAAGGTGGCCAGAAGGGTGCTACAGAAGCACATGTGAACTCTCACACCTTCTGGCTTCCTGACGTCTGGTTGAATTGCCATTGCAGGGAGCAATGCAATACTACTGGGTCCTCCCTTTGAGTTGCCAGGCTTCTGGATTTTGGCTTGCCTTCTCTGGGCTCTCTCTGTAGCCCTCAAACTACCCTCAGCCTGAGTGGATGCCTAGCAGACCCTGAAAACAAGCCCAACTCTACCTGTGGAAGATGGCTTTAGCCATGCTCATGGTGATGAAGCACTGCTGTCGAGGTAGCCTGCTTCTGAATTCCAAGGCAAAGCATCCACGCTTCAGGTGGCTTCCATAGGCTGACCAGGTGAGTCTCTCAGAAATGGCCAATGTTGACCTACTGCAATCTCCACCAAGCCACGCTGGACAACTTCCCAG